ATGTCCTCATCTACGTCAAAAAGCAATTGCCCGAAAGTTTTGAAATGTTATAGTTAAAGCTTCTGTTTTATGAAAAATACATACGAAAAAAACCTCACGAGTTGTATAAAAACGCAAAGTTATTTAATATAATTATAGAAGAAATAATCTTTAATCAAATTTACAGGAAGAGAAAAATTTCGCGTTTGATCATTAAAATATGACAGTTTGCCAGCTAAATAATAAATGATAATTGTATTTTTAGAGTTTTAAAAAGTTCTACGTTCCATAATTATTATTTGTAGCGTTCCATTAATGCATGTCAAGGTAAAGTACAAACTTGTGATCTATGTGTCCAACTTTCTGCATTTCTCACTCTTGAATTTCTTTGAATGTTATACGTACGATTAATTACAGGAGCAACGGGTTAAACGGAGCACTGCAATTTATCTCGCTATTCGTCTGTCGCAATTTCCTCTTTTCGTGGAAAATCCGTTGTTTTCTGATTTTCGTGAAAAATCCGTATGCATTGAATTGTGATAAATTGCTTATATATACGTACAATGGTGATTAGAATAACATATAGCTACATAATCGTTCATTTCGGATTTGATAATAATCACATAATGAAGCTGGAGATTACAAGAAATCAAATAAAATTATCAACTGCAATTTAAAGATTTCACAATAAAGCAAGATAAAAAACTCAATATATTAATAATATACAAGCAGAATTATAATGCACATATTGAAAAATTACTCTCTAATAATGGAAGTTTAATATATATTTATCTAGGAGACAATAGGTTTGCACGCTGCAGAGTAAGCATAAAAAGAATGAAAAGTATGAAAGCTTGAAAAATTTTCTTGTCACTTGACATCGTTTGTATTTCAGTCTATAATTAATCCTGGCTCGAGTTCGCTGCAGACGCCGAGAACAGAAGGCACACAGCTCCAGTTTGTACAACCGGTCTCCGCTGAGTTAAAGATTTTAATTTTGTGAACAATTCCGCCGGATGGGACATTGCCGGTAATTAAGCGACGAAAGCGGGTAGAAAAACCTGAAAGGCGAAAGTATCTCTCAGTTGAATCGAGCCTTCCTCGTAGTCCTCCCGAGCGTGCGAGCGCGTTGTTACGAGAGTGAACGCACGTGGACGAGCATTTACGAGCGACGTTACCGTCGACCTCTAGAGCAGACTACGTACGTCACTTTACTGTAATTACGAGTGAGCTTAATGCCCACTGCGAATGATACCTATTTGCAAGCGCCGGCGGTGCATTATGTCGGATACCTTTCGCGTGCGCGCGTGTGTATATATTGACTCCCTGTATTAATGCGCCTAAAGTCCGAAATACCATCCGTCTGCGTCGATATTTCAAAATCGGCTGTACGAAGCTTGGGATTGGAGAACGTGGAAATCCGATTAAACTTGATTTTCCGGCATTTAATTAACAATCCGGTGGAAAACTCGTTTCGCTGATATGTCGCGCTGCGAAAAACAGTGGAGAGATCGCTATATTTATAAACACCGAGTTTTAATTCCACGTTGCAAATACATAATTCATCGGTTTTCTGCACGAGACGCGTTAATGTTAGTTGCAAAAATATAAACGGTATAACCGTGAAAATAAAAAAGAATGACGTGGTTAATTTAATAAACAAAAATTTAGAAAAATATTTTTAAAATATTCAATATTCCTACGCAGATAATCTAATAATTATTAAAAAATATGATAATTTCTATATAAAATAACTATTCATTCTTAATTAATTAAGAAAGACATATCCAGATGCAATGATAAAATATTTCTTTATTTTCTCGACAGAAAACGCTGTGTATTTTATTTTTGCATTTTCACGATGCGATATTGTCCACAAACAAAATTTAGAAGATATTTTCCATAACATCTTGGAATAATTTTCCTGCCGAGAAAGCAAGCTTGGTTTACAGTTGCAGACTAATGTAGTTTAGATATGTGGGGGATGAATAATGTTCATTGCACACCGTTGCCCGTGTGACATCGACGAGTTTACTATTGTGTATGTTATCGCCAGCGAAGCTGGAACTGCCACTGTTGCATCTGCTTGAAAATGCTTTCTCTTCGCTACGTGATATATTGCGCGATCGCACGCAATAGAGAGATTAAAAAGGCAATGTGACAACAATATTGCCGTCTGCATATACATATCTGTGTAAGACTTTATTTAAACAAACTATATTAAAATATTATAAATTCCAAAAATGAATAGAACGTGAAAAAAAAAGACATTTTCTTCGTATATCATACTTTCTCGCTTATTATACGTTCTCTATTGTATAAAAATAAAATCAATTGTTATCAAGTATGCTATGCTATTTTTTATATCAATTTTTATGTCAATCAGTGTCTATTATTCTCTCGGTGAACATCGCGATGTCACCATATATGTCAGAAAACGAGATCACGAAGTGCGCGTATAGACGCCTGTTAAATTTCTCATTTTATGCGTCAAGGAACCTCGCCGTAAATCGCGGCTTATCGAGTTTAGCCTTCGACGTAGAAATGCATTTATTCAGGTCGACGCGATTGCTCGCCATGGAGATGAGCGAAACCATGTAGAAACTTTCCTTCTGCTCGGCGGCTGATGATATTTCCGGAACCGAGAAACTGGCTTGGTATTATCGTCCTGCCTGCCGGCAGGATATGGAAACTTTGACCATATTGCGAGACAGCGCAATTTTTGAGGGCGAGCGCGCGTTAACACGTTGGACGAAACATCCGTCCGGTTGCTTCGTTTTAACATGTTCGCGGCGAGCGTATTTAGCAGTTTTGGTAATAACAACCTGCGCCGGACGCGAACGTTGTATTTGTTCGAACGAACGTGACTTTACGGCGGCGCTTTAATTATGGAAATTATTACCTGCCGGCCGGGCATCCGCCGAAATTTATGAGATTAACGTACATCCGCCAAATTAGCTGTGGCTCATCATCTGTCGGATAATTCAAAGTTTGCGAAATGATGGGTTGCATTGTATTAGTTCAGTATTGTGAACAAACAGTTTCTAAATTATTTATTACGCGCAAGAAAAGTAAAAAAGTAATAAATCTGATATAGATTGCAATAGGAAAAGAAGAAATAGATTTAGATTTTTGGTTTGATGAAATAAAGTTAAAAGTAATAAAACATTTAGATGGCCACCTATCTCTGTTTACGGCCCTATAAATTGTTATCGCTTCGCATGGTTCCTTCCTGCAAGCATGGAAGAGTGTAAGATTATCTGGTCAAAAATGAAACAGTTTTCTAGTATCGAAAAAGAAAAAACTTAAGATATGAAAATAAAATTGTAAAATATAAAAGAAATGATACGAGTATTACAATATATAAAATCTTATTACAATTAGATAATTATAATAATTTTTTAGATTCGTATAAAAGCAAAAATACTTAGGGTGAAGAAACCAGATGCAAAGTTTATTGCATTTATCTGTTAATTTCATTGATTCGTTAAAACGATCGGATTAGTCAAATTATTACTCTTATTTAGAGATTTCATTTGGTTAAATATTAAAAATATCAAACGTTAAATATCAAACGTTTGCAGATCGGTAGAGCGAATGTACTTTGAAGTACTGCATTAACAAACGGTAGGAACGTTCTCTCTTCTCTCGTCGAACCCTCTTATCTTATTGTTTGCACAAGCGAGGGTGCGTATGCGAAATGGGAAAGCTCCGGAAAAGTGATCGCGGAAAGATGCTCGATTTCGCACGTTGATCTCACTGTTTTCTTTCGCATTATACAGGATGTGCCAAAATTTTTGAGAAAATTGTTTCAGACATAAGTTGCAAGGTTTCAAAGGATCTATTTAATTGCCGTACTAGTTTTAACATTAGGCGTCGTTAAGGTCAGATCAAGATTAGATAGATTTTTTAAAATGAAAATTCCCATTTTTTATCACATATTCTCGCAGCTTATCTCGAGCATTTTTAAAACACTCTAATGAAGTTATTTTTCTTTAAGTACTTTTCGAGTTATAAGACTTGAAGATTGCGATGCGATTGCGATTGTGACGTTAATCTGACGACACCACCCAAAGTCAAAACTGATACGCTCATTACATACATCTTTTGAAACCCTTCAACTTTTGAAAACATTTTTCTCAAAAATTCTTTGTTTTCGAGATATTCGATCGTTTCCACAATTTGGTGCACCCTGTATATCTGTATATCATGATGTCCCCATGAAAATTCAGAGATATCAAAGTGTACGTTGATACGGTCGATCTTGACTCTTATTCATTCAATATTGCCTGGAAACGGTAATCACGCTTTTAAAGTGAAATGAAAGTGTGATTTTGTTTGATAAAAAGCGATATATCGATGAAATCACTAGATTACCTCATCGCCAGAAACGTAAAAATAATTTTAAAAATTATTTATTTCATATATGTAGATATCTTATTCATTAATATGTTAGAGATTTGGTGTCATACAAATATATTTCAATAGAAATTGATAGGAATATTTCATCGAAACTATTGAATAAAATAGTGCATGTGTTAAAGAGAAAGTGGTTGTCTTACTAGATGAGCCAAATGTAAGGTAGAATTATTTAATTTTTATTTAATTCTCAGAACATAAGAAAAACGAGTCTTTAATATCAAATCTCTAAAACAAGCTTCTACTTTAAAAATCAAGCTTCTTTAATAAAGGAATTAAAAATACAGTATATATAAAGAATGTTTAATAAATATTTTTCTCAATCTAAGGTAGCATAATACTTTTCAACCAATGATTATTCGAAAGCGAAAATCTTTCAAATTAATAAAGAAAGTAGATTCTTTTTTTATACAATAGTTGTTACGTTATTAGTTTCTATTTAATTAGCATTTCTATCCCTAATTTTCTAATTGATTTTTGATGGAAAAATTGGATGCAGTATTACTTATTTATTTCATATTTTTTTTTCAGGGAAATCATACGTCTGTCCTTTAAGCTCTAAAGAAGCATAACGGATAGCAATGCAGAGACATTTATATTACCTTTTGGCAGAAATCCAGCGTGTATTAGCCTCGCTTCCATGAGCAGAGAGGGTAAGAGGAAGCACATGGCCGTGCAGAGATGCACGAAGGCCGCTGTAGGGCCACCGTGTCTCCATAAATTATTCACCAGACCTAAAAAACAGTAGTTATCGTCCTGCTCAGCGTCTTTTTCGAAGTTATACATTGTAATTAGGATCAATCCATCATTTTTTAAAACGTGAAACAGATGTTAGTCATATCCTATTTAATTTTCGTTGCTCTTTATTTAAATGAAATTTATCATTTGTTAATTGTCAATTTCGATCAATCGACACGATAGATTACTTTGAGCGTCGCAATAAATGTAAAAAAAATGCAAATGTAAAAAAATTCTTAAAACTGTCAAACAAATAAAGGTTTGTAAATGTTTTCAATTTAGACAAAGATATAAAGAGATATTGATATCTTTATAATCTATTATTATGAATTTTACAATATACCATAAAGTTTTCGTTTATATACTTGTGTATATGTGTAAAATTAAAATTTTATGACCTACTTACTGTTATTATTAGTGAGAAGCGAAGATGGCGGGTCGCGCGAACAGGCGCTTAAATGCCGACCTAGTTTTATTCCATCGTTCGCGAGATTGCCAAGCTTCAAGAATGCCGCACCAAGTAATACCGGAAGTAGGACGACTCCGGTGCCGGCTAGCACCAGGCAAGCGTACAATTCGATTTTAGGAGGTGGCGCATCCGCTGGCCATGGTAATGACAAGTAAGCTAAAGAAATGATATAAAGTTGTGAAAATATATTAAAAAATTATACGCTGTAATAATATATTAAAAAATATATATTATTTAGTAGTTAGTATATTTAATATGTTAAATATACTAACAGATAAAATAATCTTTCTCAATTCGTAACATTTTCACAATCTTAACGTTTTCTTTTATTAATTACAAAGATTGTATCAACTTTGTGCAGAATTTATGAGAAGATATAAAATTATATTAGCTCCTGTTTCAAATCTAATTACGATAAAACAAAGTTTGTGTTCTTTTTCAAGAAGATAATCTTACTTTAGGAGAATTAAGTTCCTCGATATCACGATTAAATGAAAAGGATAATGAAGAAAAGGAGAATCATTCGTTATTCTCGAATTTATGACCGATTAAAGAATTATCAGGAATTAACATTAACATCCTCTTAATAGGATATTAATTCGTTTACAATTTCTTGGATCTACAATCTACTTAACTAGCGTTTCTATCTCTGATTTTCTTTTAATCCCACTGAGAGGAATGGAATTAAGGTCTCTTCTTAGTTTGGAAAGAGCAGTTTGGATAGAAAGCACGAAAAATTTCGCTGGTAATTTCTCAATCGTGTATCTTTTACGTAATGACCTTCAGTAACGGAAACCTCGTACCAGCTGCCAAGAAAAGAAATTTACGCAAAACCGCCGCCGGAAATAGCCGGAAAATAAGGAAAACCAACGAACCATTCAAGAACTCATCCAGAAGTTTTATTAATTAAAGTAACAAACGGGAAAAAGAGAAAGCCTCCAAAGTCAGTTATTTGTTATTTCATAATCGTTATATTATTCTTTACATCATTTTTTTAACTTATAACTCAAGTAATCCATTAGATGTAAAAACAATAAATTGCTGTTATGCAATTTTGTGCAATCTATATTAAAAAGGATCGAAAGTACTTTTTATAGAAAATTTTATACTATTTGTTGAATTCGATTTAATTGTGCGCGATGGTAAATAAATAATTTATTCGGAAATAAAATCATTGATCCAATAAAAGAGGATTTTTGGATAATCTGATAACGTAATCAATCTTAGAGAAAAATGTATTTTTGGTGAATAAAACGAGGAAACAATATCTTACCAGCGAATCGCCTGGCGTATCTCATTGCTATGTACGCCTGAAAAGCGACAGCCAGAATGCCGTACCAGACGGACCAAAGACTGTTCACATGACCGCGAATACACGAATCTTTCCTCGTAGATTTTCGTGCCCTCTTCGATTTGCTCGTGCTCGTGGTAACACCACTCGAGCTTATGCTCGATACAACTGGCAGCGGCTTCAATGGCTTCTTACACTTGGCCTGGTTCACATCGTTATTGTTTTCGTATCCCATTAAGCTTCCAGTCATCGACATTTTGTCCTGAAACATAATTGAGTGTGCATTTAATATAATTTAGAATTCTACTTTGCGGATTATTTTAAATTGTGTACAAAAATATAACGTTAGCTTATTGCAAATTTTTAATTTATATCAAATATCTTAGTAAAGAATTTCAAATTAGAAAATGCACACTAAGAAGATTTATATTTATTAAATAAATTTTTATTTCATATTTATTCGCGTCAAATTAACTCTTGCGAGCCTATATAAAAAGATTAAAATTTTTTTTACATTTTACAAAACCATGATTATATAATTCTAAAAATAAACACTTTAAATATTATTTCTTTTTAAGGCGAAAAATAGATACCTTTACTTATCTATTTTATTGCGATTGACTTTGACTAGTGTTTTCATGAATTATCAATTCAATCAGATTCTCGACACCTATTTCAATCGTATCTCAATTTTCATTCAATAATTATCCGAATAGTAACGCTTTATCTCACGAATGGTTCGAGTCATTTCCATTTTGCTCGACTACGCGGAGTTTCAATGCGTTCCGACGGTTTATCTCTCGTGCGCCATTGAGCCTCCTGGGAGGCTCTTTTCTCCCGTTGTATCTTTTCCTGCTGCCTTTGCTAAAAAGAGCGCACGGTTCGCCTCATTCGCGCTTCTTCCTCTTTTCGCGGTATTTCACAGTTACGTTATGCGGAAGCGAGGAAACCCGCGGACACAGTTATGTTAAAATATTAGAATAGGACGCAAAGCTTTGTGTCTCTCGTTTTTAAATATTAAAAGAGACTTGATGTATGAAACTGAATTTGAAATAATTCTTTCCGTATTCCGTATATTCTCTATATGAATTTTTCAATACTATACATAGAACGTTATCTTCTGTAAAAATTTTCGGGACAAAAAAAACGTTGTTTTTGCGGATGTAACATTTATCAGAATAGTTCAGATAAATTTACATAAATAAACTGTTTTGTTGATTTTTATTTCCATAGGAAAAAATTAAATTAAAAGTTACAATTTGCAATGAATCTTTAATTGAACAATTAAAGTCATGTTTCATCACCTTATATTTTTACTATTAATTTATTGGTTTTAATTAAGTGGGCCGCGCTGCATTTGTGAAATAAAGTACCATTTGTCTCGTCTGGCCGTGAAGTCAGAGCAATTAAAATATAAACGAGCGCAGTTTCCAGTTTAGGACTCAGTGGAGGAGAATATTGGGCACGCCTGTACTTGTTCGGTTACGAGTTGGATTTTCAGCCCCTCGCGCTTGACTTCTCCGAGCCGGGGGGTTGTAAAGTGCAAAGTTTTATGATCGTTTTCGTTGGATTCGTTCCGCGATAAAATTTCAAGGAGGGAACGACGGGAGACGGTGCGTGCGAAGAAGCACGTGCGTGACCGTATCAGAGACCTGAGGCGTGTATTCGCCTTCCTGTTTCACGATCTGAAAATTTATAGTCCCTCCGCGTACAACCCAGCCACGAAATCCTCGCTCCACAATGCGCAGATCCTTCCTTCTGTTTCCTTTTTCCTTCGCAAGCATATTCGATATCTGCGCGATTCCTAACTATCATGGTTATTAAATAAAATAGAGATACGAATACATGGCGGACGTACAAATAATATGAAATCAGATTAGAGCGCGTTTTGCTTAAAATAACTTGATTAATTAATACACAATGTACACATAATGTATATAACATCAATATTTTTAAAAAGAGTTTGTGAATAATTGTAGCGTGATGATTCTGAAATTTGCTATCTGTATGAGAATCCAGGCAACGTAGCATAGGAATTTGTGTGCTTTTCACCTGCCCGTCGAGACGCTCTTATGCGGAAAGTGGAAATATTAATTAACATCCAGACGAATCCACATTACGTGCTAACATCAAAGGAAACGTTTGAAAAGCTAAGTTTTATAGAGATCTCTTATAGACAAGAATTCACAAGAATGCGTTTCAATGAAATGAAATTTCGATAAGATTTTCTTATAAAATAGTATCGTGCAATTAAATGAAGATCACTCTACGAAAGAACTTTAATTAGTTTTTATCGCATATTATTCCACATTTTATAGTTTATTAAAAGAAATTTTGATAAAAATAAATTAAGAAAGAAGTAATTTTTTATTTCTAATATCTAATAATTAAATAAAAACATCAAAAAGTTTTCCTTGATGTACAATTTTATTTTTTTTTCTAAGCATATCCTACATTTTCAAATATATGTTTTACATATAATTTTGTTAAAAAATACAAAAAATAATTATTGCAACAAGTTATCAGAAAAATTCATTATTAATTACATATAAAATTAATACATATAAAATATAATTAATTACATATAAAATATGTATTATCAAATTAATGAGAAATTAATGAGAATATTTAGGAAACTTTACAAACGTTTACTACTTTAAATATTCAGTAAAATATTAGCTCTGCAACTTCTGTGGTATTATCGAAGTGATAGAAGCCGCTTAAAATTAGCTTTTACGCTTGAAGGATTATGCTTAAAAGTCGCTAGCAGATTTTGAAAATCTTTCATTAAGTCTACTGAATCATCGTGAAAGCGTAAAATCCTCGCGCACTTGGCTGAAACTTTCGTTCAAGCACAGAAGTTTGTCAGGTAGACGAGAAAAATCAGCGATTATTTTAAGCTGTTCTTGTGATTTAATTGCACATGATATGTGAAATCCGGAAAAGGATAGCGGATTTGCTATATTTCCTGTACACTTGATGTGAATTACTACCACATGTCCTAACAAATATTGATAAACTATTTATTAAAATAACATGAAATTAATTTTGCAAAAATATAAAAGAATAAATTATATCATATATCATTATATCATAAAAAAAACAAAACACAATTTTTTTTATTTCTTTGTAATAACAAATCTAATATTTTTCTGTAATAATTTTCTGTAATGCGTTTCTTAAAATTCGTAAAAATTTTATTTTATACTATTTGGGTACGACTTGTTACAATATTATATAATTTAAGATTATACATTTTTTTTTATTTATAAACTTTGTCTTTTATACTTGTATATTCTCTATATACATGAGTCTCACAGGCTCCAATTACTGCGTGTCGATTTACAATTCAACTTCGCAGAGGAAACTTCACTTAAAACTTTTTTATCAGAAGATTTAGTCGATCGGTCGATAGAGCAAGTAATTTAGATTCCTTTCAAGCATGAAATCAATATTTAAGTTACCAGAACTTACCAGATTTCTGTCGAGTCTTCTAAAGTCTCGAGTACGCTTCTTCGCTATAACCGACTCGAAGATGTAGCATCTTTGGCGGTGGCAGCGCCTGAAACAGACAACAATAACAGAACGATATTTAGCAAAATTAAATTAATAAATTAAAGTAAATTAATAATATAAAAAAACATCATAAAACACGGAGAGAGAATATATTGCATTAAAATTTTTGAGAGTTAATACATTTTGAAGCTCAAAAAGAATAATTCAGCGAAATCAATTACAATTCTTTGTTCAATTCTAGTGTTTCAAATTATGATATCTATAAATTTATACGTAAGCATATATTAATTTCCGCGTTACATTTATATTATAAATACACAGACGAGTAACGGCTTCATTAATCAAATTGCTTCGTGATGTTGTTTGCATGGGACTAGGTTCTGTTTGCCGGCTCGTTTTGTTTATTCTGGAGCAAGAATGCTCGAGGAGAAGCAAGTGATTTACATGAATCTTTTGCTTGATCAATAAAATTTGGTGCTTACACAAGCCGGATAATGAACTTGTAGCCGCTCGGACTGACTGTGTTAATTACGTTCTGTATCCCTGCATTTATGGCTACGCACGGTTTACATAACTCGTGCTTTGCATTCCCTTTTATTGTGTCCGAAATGAGTTGCTTTGTGCACATCACAATATGCATCACCGTAATGCGTCTTAAACTTCGCTTGGAAAGCGCGGATTTTAACATATCAGTTCCCGTCTCGTACAAAGAGTAATTGACCACGTAAAATCTTTTTAATCCTTTGGTACATTACCGCTACAACATTGGAAAGGATTAATGCTTTCTATTCTCTTCTATTATATAAAAGACATAAAGGTGACAAATGTGCAAGCCGTTCTCGACTTTCTTTAAAATAGAATTAATCTCTAAGATTTATAAATAATTCCTTCAAGACTATTTTCAATTGTTTTAAAAAAGAAGAATATATATAACGAGGGAATTATTTTTCATTATTAAGTATAATTGTTATACTTGGTACCTCAAATTACCTGGCGCTCGACGAGTGCTTTGGTTTTATTATTATGAGTAAAAATTGAAACAGTTCTATCTTTCTCTCTCTGTCTATGTCTTTTCTTTCTTTCCGATGGTTATACGGTCGATTTCACAAAGAGAGAAAGATAACATAGTGCCATTAGGCTGATTACGGTTTCGTATTACGTGGTCTGAACACCACCTGAGCTTTTCTAGGATGGCGTTTGGTCATTGTGTGCTCTGGTAACTTCAGTCGAGAAAGGTAAGCTCGTATAGCTAGTATAAGAAAGCAAAACCAGTTCATTAATTTTACCCCTCAAGGCAAACCTCGAGGCACACAAAGCGTGCTCATATATTAACATAGTGTACAATACGAATAAATGTGACAAGAGGTAAGCGAATTTTGAAGATACATTATGTAAGAACAATTCTGTTTAAATACAGTAAAAATAATTTTTAACTTCGTGATCAAGGGAAATATTTTATACTGTACTTATAATTAATTAAATCAATTAAATGCGCTAAATTAGTTCCATAACATAACGCAATAGTATTTAATCCAAGTTCGTTATTATGTCGACAAAGATAGAAACTACATTATGTAATTATATAATTCATGGAAATATGAAAAGAGTTAATTCATCTCATTAACCAACTATTTATTTAATAATTATTATAATTATCCTTATTACAATTCTGTCATCAATATTATAATAAAATTGCCTTAATAATCATAAATTATTATGTCCTATGGAAAATATATGGTATAGATGTACAATGCTTGTACTCATATTATTCTTTAGAATAAATAAATCAAATTGATAGATTGCGATATCAATATTATAGATTCTATGTCTAATTTTGACTTTGTTTTTCTTAAAATAAAATATCTTAATAAAACAATAAAATAAAACAGTTTTAATTAAATCATGAATTTTCAAGTGCAGACTGCGGATAAAATTCATTATTATTATAGTTTATTTATTAATATACAAATGAATATAATTAATTGAATCAATAAATGTCGTTATCTAAACACTAATGCAATTATACATTAACAGTTTTGTAATATTCACATTAGAATCGAGATTATATATCGAGCACAATTAATGGCAAAACAAAGAGAAAAAAGCATTATCTAATAAGCGTAACGGCAACTGATTGGAGATATTTATTAATCATGCAGGAAATTACTTTGATTCCTCAAATCAATCTCAATCTCTACAAAATTCTTACGTACTTCGCAAGTCCGAACGCGCTAGTAATTACATCACTCGCAATAAATCAGAGCTGCGCGCCGCTTGGCATTAATTATCCGTCATCGTGTAACTGAACGGGGCTTGCACGCAGAGTGGCAAAAACTTCCTTCCACGGCGAGAGGAATGTCTACTCCAATAAAATGCTCGCATAACGCTGATTTATCATCTGTGGCTCACGTCACGATACGCGTTGTAGATACGACGTATACGAATCAGACAAACATCATCGAAATAAAACAGGAAAAACAAAGAAAATTATAGATCCGCAACCTGATCCCGAGAAACTTTTATATATATATATA